TAGCTTATTAATATTCATTATTAGTATTACGAAATTAAATATGATAACATTTTTTTTTTTATGGAAATAGTTCTTCATTAATTATTATTACCTTTTTCACGGCTTCATCAACAGCTTTCTGCACTTGTTTCTCATCTCTAACATCAACAATGCATGGCAATGCCTTTCCACCAAGAGCTTCAACTGAAAAAAAAATCTCAGATTTTTAAGGTTTCATTTAGTTTGGTTCCCTGACTAAAAAGAGGATTGAAAGCAATACTGCCTTATATATCTTACATATTATTGCAAATATTTAATACATAGGGCTTTTTTATTTGAGTGTAAATAAGTATTGCTATGAAATGACTCAATTTATATATTAAGTAGTAAAATTCTTATAGCATTCAAGATACTACAGTTGTTTATATGGTTTTTCTTCAATATAGTGTTGTAATAATATTCCACGTCAAGAAACCATTACATTGTCAAGGTTAGTTTCTGTATTTAAACACTAAGGTCGAAGTATGCGCTCCACAGGTTCAAAGTCCAAGTTCGACAAAAAAATATAACTATCGTCAATTTAATAAATTTATGACACAAACTAGTCTTCAATTTTATAAACGTAAAAATTTAGATATGTTTTAAGTACATTAGTTAACATACTTTCTTCGGCAGCGGTATAAATAGTGCCAGGTAGTTTGGGATGAGGTTCGGCAGTTTTCGCGGCAATTACAACATTTGCGCCGTCTTTCGCAGCTTTCAGAGCTATAGCCTTGCCAATTCCACGAGAAGCACCAGTAATAAACAGCGTTCGGCCAGCAAGTTTTCTAAAAAATCATCATAAGGTTGTAAAAGTGGCACAGGTAAATTATAAAGTTTTCAACATTGTTAAACTTACCCAGTATTAGCTACAAGACTCATTTTTACTTAGTTTCAAAAAAGAACGTCTTACAGAAACAAATTGTTTAAATTAATTTAGTAAACTAAATAAAAATAATCCTGTTTCCATTAAATATTTTTAAAACTGTTGAGATTTCGTTTGTGGACTGTCAACGTCACTGATTTATGTCAGTTGTCAAATTAGAGTAGTAGCTCTGTTCTTCCAACTGGAAAGCCAAAGGTATCATACCATACACCTTAATATATAGAGGATTTCATAATATATACATTTCGAAATATATATCATGAAAAACGGTTACTAGAAAAGGCAGGAAAAAAATATTAAAATTATAATATGATGTAAAACTAAATGAGATGAGTTGGTATGGGATGAAATATAATCTCAGTAAAATGGTGGTTATTTACTAAAACTTTTTCAGTGAACTTTTTGGAAGATCCCGAGAAGCTACGTCCAGCGGCTTTGTTTCATGTTTCCACATTTGGGCAATTTCACAGACAGTTCATAAACCACTGTTATTACACCCTTAAAACCTGAAGAAACACTAAATGGACAAAATAAAACAATTCATACAGCTTCGCTTCTCGCTTTCTTGCCAAAAAATCTGTCAAATTAGAGCTGTAAACGAAACTAAATTTCTAAGCGACTACGATACAAATGAATGATTCCGAATATAGGGTATTGTAATACGTATTTTACGTAGAATAAAACTGATACCACACACCATAGATTATACACTTAATATATTTGAGACCACACACCAACGACACGCGAAAACTAACGATACGACAACACAACGACTTGATCAATATTTATAGTATATTTTATATTGATCTACCGATGCCCCTTCTCTCTAGACACCTTTACTCGGTAAACATACAACACTATCTAAAATTGCGAAATATTTTATATTTTTACTGTGAAGAAGAACATAATCAGCAGCATTTTGGATTTGTTCTTATTCCTACTAACTCATATGAGTCTGATTTAGCGAGTATCTACATTATTTGCCCGTCATAAGGTAAATAAAAACAGCAGTGATTTGAAATACATTTATTGTGTGCATCACTTCATTACTCCACTCATTCTACGCTAATGTACAACACCAGATTGGGTGAATAGAAACACATTATGTACTATCAAAATAAAAACTATATTATAATTTCATCATAAGACTTTTCAATTAGGCTTAAAGTAATAAAAAAATTAACGCATCATTTCATTGCATAATTTATGGCTCGAATCATTGGTAATATACTAAGATTTTAACACATCATATCTTACACGTTTTTTTACACACTAACTACAACATTTACAATTTCATTACAATAAATGTAAAATACACAAAATTATGTATAATATAAAATACCTTTATAAGTACTTGAGTATTCATATTTAATTACCTAATAAAATATTTCGTATTGAAAAAATATGTTTTTTTTTTACTTAAGTACAATACATATTTTAAAACAATAAAATTAACAAAATACTTTTCGGGAGATCAAAGATCTATTGGTAAGTGTTCTTAGCTTCGTAATTAATAATAATATTCATTTTATTTATTTGGAGTTCTCATAGGTCTTTAACTAAGTTACAAGGAGACATTCAAAGTGTCTTAGATAAAATAACATAAAAACGAACAAAACTTTTAAAAATAATAATTTTGGAAAGTCTTCTCAGAGTCCCAATAGCTCATTATGAATATATCATGAATAACACCGTTAGTGTTTTATTGTAAAGCATTTAAAACTTGTATACACAATACAAATTATTTGAAGATTTACTGAAATAAATTATAACAAATAGGTATGTACGATGTGTGTATTAAAAAAATACGGATTAAAATTTTAACGCTAAAATGAAAAATAATGAGGGTAGTAGTTAAAATATTTTCAATTGTGTCTATGATTCGCGAAGACATTACTATTGATTATTATTGCAAACATTATCATAGTTCATTTTTATTGCCTATTTATTAATGGCAGTTAAACCAAATCGAATGTATAACAAAAAAAAAAAAAAAAATTTTTGTTCGCTCGCCTTTTTTTTTATTTCTTATTTGGATGGATGAGCTCACAGCCCACCTGGTGTTAAGTGGTTACTGGAGCCCATAGACATCCGCAACGTAAATGCGCCATCCACCTTGAGAAGTTCTAAGGTCTCAAGTTTAGTTACAACGGCTGCCTCACCCTTCAAACCGAAACGCATTACTGCTTCACGGCAGAAATAGGCAGGGTGGTGGTACCTACCCGCGCGGACTCACAAGAGGTCCTACCACCAGTAGTAAAACCTCTTCGCCTCGCCTCTTTTAAAGCGAGTGAAATAAAAATAATTGAATCGCAGATATCATAGTGCCCAATACCGGAGCGATAGGTACAAGTTGTTGAAGGTCACACTATTTCATATTTTAGGTAACGTTTCATAAAATGTTGAATACAAGAATAAATTGTTAGAATATCCCGTTTGTAAAATGACGCGTGACTCGGCCTGTACTACAATTTGAGATCCGGTGGAATTTGATTTTCAGTACGTCGTTTCGTTCATTCCGAGAGCTCTTAAAGTGGGTACAGTAAACATGTACTGTATGCTTAGTGCGAGTTTTTTAACGTTTTCGATAGCGTAAAAGTTAGCACATAGTTGTATGGAATGGGAGCGTTTGCCTGCGTTTGCCGCTAAGGGCACTATTCCAACTGCCTACAAAATTGAGTTAACTTTTACGCTATCGTGAACGTTTTAAAACTCGGACTAAGCACACTGGACTCACTTATATATTACATGATCATTATTTTACTTGATCGTTAAAGTAAGAGCAAGACCATATGCCATAGATGGGAAAGCGAATCGACTAAGACTTATATTTACACAATAGTGCTGGACGATCGAAATGAGTTTGTTCAGACCTTTACGGGTAATTTATTTTCTATAAGCTTTTAAGTGTTAAGAACCTTCATTGTTAGTTATCACCACACAACTCGTGTCATAGAAGTCATCGTGGGCTTAAAAGATAAGACGCGGGATGCATTCGTATCGAGCGATTCGACTGTGTCATTTTTAAAATCCCGCAAACAGCTNTCTGTTTTACTTTTTCCATAATATCATTCTTCCCCTGTTTTATAATGAAGCAATATACGTCGTACACAATTTTTCTACCCTTTCTTTTGAATACTACACCAGTTTGTCGCGGCATAGTGTATTTTTTATAAAAAATCAACAAACACTCAACAAATAGCAATGGCAACAAAGTCAACAAGCAATTATAACAAAATATAACTTAACGATTAGTAACGATAGACTTTTCACTGTACGCAAGCGTACTTTTGGGAGCAAGCGGAACGAAGGCGCGGTGCGGGACGCAAGGTTCGACTGATCTACCAATAACGCGCTCGATACGATTTCCCCTGCCGTCGCGCCTCACCCTCACCACCAAAGTGATCTAAAATTCGGTTCTGCGCAGTCAAGGTCATTTGCTCACGATGTTTGCCGGTTACTATACAAGTTGTTGAAGGTCACACTATTTCATATTTTAGGTAACGTTTCATAAAATGTTGAATACAAGAATAAATTGTTAGAATATCCCGTTTGTAAAATGACGCGTGACTCGGCCTGTACTACAATTTGAGATCCGGTGGAATTTGATTTTCAGTACGTCGTTTGGTTCATTCCGAGAGCTCTTAAAGTGGGTACAGTAAACATGTACTGTATGCTTAGTGCGAGTTTTTTAACGTTTTCGATAGCGTAAAAGTTAGCACATAGTTGTATGGAATGGGAGCGTTTGCCTGCGTTTGCCGCTAAGGGCACTATTCCAACTGCCTACAAAATTGAGTTAACTTTTACGCTATCGTGAACGTTTTAAAACTCGGACTAAGCACACTGGACTCACTTATATATTACATGATCATTATTTTACTTGATCGTTAAAGTAAGAGCAAGACCATATGCCATAGATGGGAAAGCGAATCGACTAAGACTTATATTTACACAATAGTGCTGGACGATCGAAATGAGTTTGTTCAGACCTTTACGGGTAATTTATTTTCTATAAGCTTTTAAGTGTTAAGAACCTTCATTGTTAGTTATCACCACACAACTTGTGCCATAGAAGTCATCGTGGGCTAAAAGATAAGACGCGAGATGCATTCGTATCGAGCGATTCGACTGTGTCATTTTTAAAATCCCGCAAACAGCTACAGATTGTTCTAACATTAGACACATACAGACGTGAGACGCGTATTTAACTCACATTGTCCCTACAGAGCGAAATTTAACTAAGTACATAGAAATAAAATTGTTTTTTTTATTTAATACTCGGCATGTTGACTTCCCCTTTTCAATTTATACAAAAAATATAATTCGAAAAATCCTAACACAAATTTAATTAATTTTATCGTTTTAGCGATAACTGATACACTAACGATACGATGATGAATTCCCACTTAAGTTATGGTTTACTTAATACAATTTTTGTTTGGTAAAAAAATTATTATATTTACTTCAAGGTGACAATTTTGACTTATCTGAAGCAAGTTATGGCCGTTTGAAATTTTCTGAACTTTCAAATGCGATTATCTCATAACACAGTTTTTAGATTTAGTTAACTCTCGCTCCATGGGGACGAATTATTCACGATTGATTTTCACGATGAAGGGGTATAATAAAAATACCGTGTAATAAAAATCGAATCAGAAAAAAATTATGCGTAATTACTACACGACTGACACAAATGTCAAGACGGGGAGGCGGGAAAAAGTTGCTTTCGAAAAAAAAAAGTAGGCAAATGGTTTTGTTTGTAAAAATAAACGTCTCTACTGCCCCGTTCGAATTTCAAGAAATCGCGTACGAGTATGTACTTGAAATACGTTGAAAATATTAGCGTTACCTCGTAACCCTGTTGTCCCAGCGATATGATTCCAATCAGTTCAAAAACAAATCAGGCACCGACAAGTTGAACAAGTTCAAAAACAAATATCAAAACTTACGGACATCGTTAACTGAATTCAGTACTAAGTTTTATTAAATACCTAAATTAGTGCCTAGATTCTAGAGATAAGATAGATAGATCTAGAATATAAGACGAAAATTGATATCTATCTAGACACGAAAGCAGTCTCGCAAGCAAAAATCTAGGAACAGTCTAGAACACTTGCTTTGAATGTTTGGTTATTAGACGCAAACAAATTCTATTATGAAGAATACATACTATTTTTCATACTATTTTATCTAAGATACTCGTTTTAGTTGTGATAGCTGTCACTTACGTTTACTATAAGAGAGAAAGAGAAAGCTATAGATATCGCTTTTTATTCAGCGTTGATTAATTATTGGGAGTATTTCCTATTACTGATTTTGAAAATAGTACCAATGAATCAGCAACTTAAATAATGATATATTTGTGAGTGATAGTCGTGTGAAAATTCAATAGAAATACTATGCAAAATATCGTTATTACGATGAAAGCACCATAAATGTTTTATTATTTTCTATCGTAAACGTTATTCACAACTTTACTTAACTATCTATTTAAAGCATTAACACGAAACAATTGATTGGCACCAAAATTAAAGTTCACTAAAATTCACAACATAAAATAATTTTGTTTTGAGCGAATGATCCTATCATTGTATTTATTAGGTACTTACAGTTTTACGTGTGCTAAAAACATAAAAAAAAAAAAAGTTAAAATATTGTATCTGTGGTTCGTTCGATATTTAAATGTAAGCCGGCTGTTTAGCCGAATGCTGCAATGCCGCCAAAACGTCATGCTTGAGTCTAACGTACAGCCGTCCTTTCCTCCACGGATTTTGAAGTTGCAACGGGCGGAAATCATCTCGCAAACATCTCTCCCGCGCTCCTATGACGGCCACCAGACAGAAGTCTTTCAATTNGTTAAAATATTGTATCTGTGGTTCGTTCGATATTTAAATGTAAGCCGGCTGTTTAGCCGAATGCTGCAATGCCGCCAAAACGTCATGCTTGAGTCTAACGTACAGCCGTCCTTTCCTCCACGGATTTTGAAGTTGCAACGGGCGGAAATCATCTCGCAAACATCTCTCCCGCGCTCCTATGACGGCCACCAGACAGAAGTCTTTCAATTTTTCCGGTCCGTAAACCGGTCCAGTTTTTCCTTTTGACACGGCGGCCATATTGAGTTGTTTGACGACCAGGTCGATGACCTCGCGGGCTGAGGTGCGGGGCGTCACGTGTAACTTCAGCGACGTCCCGGCCGCTAGACCAGTTTCGTAGGCCGCATACACCTGTAAAGTGAACACGGAGCCTTTGTTTTTTAAATTAAGAACTAACCGAAATAAGTGAGTTTTTTTTTATTAATTTTTTATTGCTTATTTGGGTAGACAAGCTCACAGCCCACCAGGTGTTAAGTGGTTACTGGAGCCCATAGACATCTACGAAGTAAATGCGCCACCTACCTTGAAATATAAGTTGTAAGATCTCAGTATAGTTACAACGGCTACCCCACCCTTCAAACCGAAACGCATTACTGCTTCACGGCAGAAATCGGCAGGATGGTGGTACCCACTCGTGTGGACTCACACGAGGTCCACCAGTAAAGTATAATTATCCTTAGCGAAGAATTGTTTGAAATAATTCTATCATTTATTATACTTTTCACTATCGTACCACCTGTCACAGGAGTATAGTTCATTATAACAAATTGGAATAGCTGCGTTCATCGCGATTGTTTTGAAGAGGATTTCTCGTTGTTGTTTCTTGAGACCTATTTTGGTATTTGCTGCTGCAGCGACTTTACTGTTAACCTTTTTTTATGGCTTTGGTGGTTAGACTAGATCACGGCCCACCTGGTGTTAAGTGGTTACCCGAGCCCATAAACATCTACGACGTAAACGCCGCCACCCACCTTGAGACATGAGTTGTAAGGGTATTTTAACAGTACCTCTGGCAATGATGAGTATTTTAATCAAACTATTTCCGCAGCAAAAATGTTAAAAACAATGTTATTGTACCTGCAGTATCCCTGGTACCTGTTCCGAAGTCCGCAGTTCTGCAGGCCCCTTCACCACATCATCCACTTCACTCCTCGTCTCCTCAGTCTTAGGAACCTTATTGTTATACTCCGCGTCCTCTTGTGTCTCCAGCAGCGGCTGTCGCTTCACGCACAGACTGTTCTTCGGGTATTCTTGACCAGTATCGGTGTATTCCACATCGGAACTCTTCACATTAGTCATACTCTTTGAGGTTATAACGCTGGAAAGAACACGATATTGCTTGGGACGGATTTTCAGAGGAACTGTCGTGATGGGGCAGCTCTGGCTCTCCGAGTCGCTGGATAGACTCTGAACGGACTCAGAGACGTTTCCTTTGGACGCCCTGACGCTGATCATGCTGCCGGGGTAGTAGCCTTTGACCGTGAGCAGCGGGCTGGAGGAGTTGGACGAGCTCGCGTTGATGCTGTGAGGCCGAGGCTTCGGTTCAACGTTCTCATTCTGAAGCACCAGGGTGTCCTCACTTCTGGACGGCGGGAGACGACTGCTGCCGATACTAGTATGAGATCCGGATGATTTGATATCGAACTGGGAGTTACTGCTCATGTAGTTAGTGCTGGACTGTGTGTACTGGGAGTCCGCGCTGCCCTTCCTGGCGTATTTCATGGCTTCATCGTTGAGCATCTGCGCGCTGCTCAGATTGAGCGTGGAAACGGACGTCTGTCTCGGAGCCAAGCTGAGTTGCTGTTCGGATTTACTGAATTCCGGGTGCAAGTTTGCGTGATTCCCGTTGCCGGCTGGCCCGGGCCAGGATCCTCGGCCCGGAGAGGTTTTGGTGATTTTTCCGTCTCTCGACGGTATCTGAAGGAAGTCCTTCAACTTGGACTCCCTATCCAGGGTCTCGATGTCGGGACCGTCTATCGTTTGTGTCGGAGTCTTTTCTAGAACGTGCTTGAGCAATATACCGGAGCTTTGGGCGGCCTTGTCTTTGTCCCTGGCGAAACATATTAGATCCATTAACCACCGTTCCGCCTTCCAAACCGTATTCAATGTGTTCTGTAGATCTTCTAGCTTAGCGAGCCTTTCTTTGGCAGTCTGAAGTTCCGTGCACGAGAAGGCTTCTCTGTGCGAGTGAGCGGCTAGGGCCAAGTCCAGTTCGAGGACACAGCTGAGCTTAGAGTATTTATTGAGGATATTCGTGTGGTAAGTCTGCAGATGAATCATCTCGAAAGCTTGTATCGGTAAACTGAGCAGATCGCCTTTCTGGAGCAGTATCTCCTTCTGTCCCGGCACCGAGCAGGCTTGTTCGGCCGGCGGGCATATCATCACGAAGCTGACGTCATTGTTCAGCTCTATGACTTCCAAGTCATAGATTCGGTGGGAAGCTACACTGTCTATAGGGATATCCATTTCTTTGAAGAGTCTTCTTGCAGCAGCGGCTATGTTGTCGAGGAACATCTCTTGAGATTCTGATGGCTTCTCTGAGTTGTTAATGGAGGGGATCTGTTGGGTGTCATCCGATCTGCCCGACTGATTTCTTAAGTACTCCCATTCTTCACTGAAACGAGCAAAGAAAAAAAAAAGATTGTAAAATGAAGTAGGTAAAACAGATAACTACCCACAAATCTACAAAATTAAGGCATCTGTTTGTTTACAGTTGCGGCTTCGAGAGCATTCCCCCGGCACCCGCAGTGTTGATGTCGCATAATCTGTGCGTACCTTGCTAGGTTAAGTCACACCGCCACCAGAGGGCGTTGTTTAGCATCGATACCAAATGCGTGTTGCGCTAACGAAATCGAAGTATCCAGAAACGTCCGCAGTCCACGGCCTTTGTTTTTTTTATTTTTCTTTTTTTTTTATTAGCCCTGTAGGCAGACGAGCATACGGCCCACCTGATAGTGAGTAGTTACCGTCGCCCATGGACTTCAGCAATGCCAGGGGCAGAGCCAAGCCGCTGCTTAACTTTTGTTCTAATGCTACTCACGCTGAGACGTGCGGGTTGTCTCGGACCCTGGTGTGCGGCGGCACGTTTGGGGCTCGCGCCGGAGCCACGATCCGGACCACCTCCACCGAGGACTGCAGCTTCAGATAGCCGAGATACAGCCCGCGTGATAATTGCACTCTAGACACCTGCATCATAAAGTCGGAATTACAATGGAGTTAAAAAAGTAATAAGTGAGCTTACTGAACTGAGCCCTATTAACTTTACTCTTAGATCTTAGTTTAGACATATAGGTAAATAACATCGCCCGAATTTGGCAGGCTATTGAATTGTAACGCTAATTATAAAAAATAAAGTTGATTCTATTCTATTAGTGAGCTCGCACCGACATGTACCACCAGTTAGACAGACAGCACTTATACAGTTCAATACTAGCTCACATATCAAGTCGACCTTGGCGGCATTGAAGCTACCATGTCTATATAAATACTCTAAAAACAGTGTCTTAGAACTGTAGGATTGGTAAGAACGGAACGTATGAAAACTGTGTGAAACGGAACGTTAAGATGTGAGTGAGAGAAAACGGAAAGAAAGAGAGAAGAGAATGACAGAGAATCGAAAGATGGCGAAGGCGGTTGAATTATGCGTCCCTATTCTACAGAACTCATGTTTGAAAGTGGTTAGCGGCACAACCGTGGTAGCGGTACATCGAAGCAATAAAACCATATATATGATTACCTGATGGTACGCGATCTGTTCGTGCACGGAAGCCATGAGGAGTTCCCCTATGGTGTTGTCCTCGCTCAGCACTCGCCGCCTCAGCTTGGACACGGGGGCCCACCTCGAGTTCAGCGCGGACACAGACTTCGCAGATTTAACGCTGTTCACGCAAGAGAGCACCACTGTGCCGTGGGAGTCTCTTAGGGGCTTGTGGAATAACTGACCTGGAACATCAAGTACCTCTGCTTTACTGGTGAGACGTATTTTGAATCCTCACGGGTATGTGAGGATACACAAAGGGGCATATTGTTTTTTTTTATGACGTAAATGCGCCACCCACCTTGAGATATCAGTTCTAAGGTCTCAAGTATAGTTAGTTACAACGGCTGCCCCACCCTTCAAACCAGAATAGGCAGGGCGGTGGTACCTACCCGCGCGGACTCTCAAGAGGTCCTACCACCAGTAAAAGTCTGAGATTAAAAGTCTGGTCCAGTGTTGCGACTTTATCATGATTTCTACGGCGGCCACCAATTCCGGTTTTAGGATGAGCTCCCCTCCACGGTGTTTCCCGAGCGCTATGACATATCCTTCTTCAAACAAGGTCTGTGGAGAGTATTAAGCAGTAGGCAACAGTTTGACTGTGCCCCTGGCATTGTTAAAGTCCATGGGCGACGGTAACCACTCACCATCCGCCGTATGCTCGTCTGCCTACAAGGGCAATAAAAGGCATCAGGTGCGATTGAGAAGTCTTGTCGCATTTCCACCTTGAACGATTGTTTTAATTGCTATATTACCTAGGTCCTGCACTCCGAGAGCGGACTGCATCTGGGCGGCGGCCGTCAGTAGCTTCAGTCTGAAGTGTATGGACGATGACGTGTGCTTCTCCATGTCTGAGCGCAGAGACTTCACATCGTCCCAGGAGCAAGACACCTATGGATTATGCGACAATCAGATATATGGCAATGTCAATGGGAAATGACCTTTTTTATTGCTTAGATGGGTGGACGAGCTCACAGCCCACCTGGTGTTAAGTGGTTACTGGAGCCCATTGACATCTACAACGTAAATTCACCACCCACCTTGAGAGTGGTTAAGTTTTAAGGTTTTAAGTATAGTTACAACGGCCGCTCCGCCCTTCAAACCGAAACGCATTACTGCTTTACGGCAGAAATAGGCAGGGCGATGGTACCTACCCGCGCGGACTCTCAAAAGGTCCTACCACCAAATTATAATTTTTGCGAGTTTGATTTTTATTAGACGACCTTCCTTGAATGTGAAGCTTCTTCCTTTACATTCCATTAAGTGGGGTCGGCAAAGCAAATTCTTCTTTTCCATTATATTCTATGAGAAGTCATTTCAACACTCAGTTCTCTCTCCCTCTAATATCGTCATTCACACACTCTATTCATGTTTTCTTCGATCGACCTCTTCCCCCTCTACCTTACACTACCATTTCCACACATCTCCTAGTCATAAGCATCTTCTCTCTACGTATCAAATGTCCATACCACGCTAACCGTCCGCTCTTTTATTAGTTAATCACCATAGCTACTTTCACACTTCCTCTGATATACTCATTCCTTATCTTGTCCATTCTTGTCACTCCACACATCCATTTCAACATTCATATCTCGCAAACTGTTAATGCTTATTATTCGACTTTATTATAAACGGTTCGGTTTATTATAAACTAGCGACCCGCCCTCGCTTCGCTTCGGAAACATTAAAACACACATGAAACCAAAAAAAAAACAAAAAAACAAAAAAAAAAAGTAGCCTATGTTCATCAGGGACAATGTCGGCTTCTAATGGAAAAAGAATTTTTCAAATCGGTCCAGTAGTTTCGGAGCCTATTCGAAACAAACAAACAAACAAATCTTTCCTCTTTATAATATTATAGTATAGATGTAATTTATTAGTCGTTGAGTGATGTAACAAGTGCCCCGGGTATATTAACTGCGGGATCTTAGGAGCAGACAATTCAATGTGAATCGAACCCACGACCCTGGATGAAACAGTCAGGGGTGCTAGCTATTGCACCGGCGAGTCAGTCAAATTGTACTTTTAACGTATTTTTACTGACTATTCAGAAATATCTTTGGTACGTCATTATCCTAAAGCACAACCTTTCGGAAACACACGAATTTTATAAAAACCCATTTTTGATTACCTTCATTAGCCAATGGAAATCCGTGTAGATACAGGTGGGGTAGGTTTCGTCAACTTCGATGACCGGCAGGAACTCTTCGCTGGTCACCAACACTTTATCCTCGTGGTACAGAATGCACGCGAGGTAGACGCCTCTGTAAACGTATTATGATTTTAGATTTGACCACATATTAAAAACAATTATCGGCTTTTATGATCTTTGGAATCATAATCGTTAGTCTTCATGATTATCATCGACGGCTCCCACTCGTGTAGTGTGGGACACAGGCCTCAGGATCCAGTGAACCGTCTGTGCAAGAGATCGGGGGCCTTACGTAGGCAGATTAGCGGTCTTCACTCATGGAAGTAAAAGTTAAAGGAACTATCAATGTATTACAACGGTAGGCAGCGGCTTGGCTCTGTTCCTGGCATTGCTAAAGTCCACGGGCAACGGTAACCACTTACCATCAGTTGGGCCGTATGCTCGTTTGCCTACAAGGGAATTAAAAAAAAAAGTCATCGGTTGTGTTTGTTAGCGTATACCTTCTCAAGTTCTTCTGGAACTTGCTGGCAGCGGTGAAGAGTTGTCGTATGGTGGCAGTCTTCTTCCGCGGCACCCGGGGCGGGCCGGGGGGGCGGGAGCGCGCGCCCGCCGCCGCCGCCCACAGCGCCTCCAAGGCAGCCGCCGCGTCGCCCGCCTCGCCGCGCGACACGCGACACGACACGTCACGCCAACCTGGTGACGCGCATCGAGAATGTACAGGCTGTGGTGAGACGTGAAACCGAAGGCAATACTGGAACAAACTAGTATCCTAACGAAGAAACGTATTTATATAAACTAGTGGTCCCGCAGTATAATTAAATAATTGAAATTATAAGTTTGAGCATTATTATGGTTCTATTGTCAGAGACTATTATACTTCTGTGATCACAGATTTCGACAAGTCTACACTATAGACAAATAATATTGAACACAATAAATATTCTCAATTTGACTTTAAACTTTAAGCAATAACAAAAGTTTGACAATAAACAAAGAGTATATTGATATGTATGAGTGTTAAATACATGGTAATGTGTATAATACTTTTTTATTGATTTAAGGTATTATTAAAGCATAATTTAAAAAAAAAATTCATTCTGCACTCCTTCTCTATATTCTCTATAAGTGTGGGAAATTTCATACACCTTCGTCCGCTCAATTTTCGTAAAAAGGGGTAAAATTTTTTGGTTTATACTGGGTGTTAGGAGACCGCTTCCGAGAACGAAGTCAGATGATAGTACTAATGACACCTTTAATAATGGGACGGGCAAAAACGGTCGTGACTTAAAAAAAATCATATTTTTAAAACGTTTTACTAGCATTATTTACGCTCCATCATGTTAGTGTAGCTAAATGAAACGATACTTCCATAAAAAATACATCTCTTTAGTTTAAAAAAAACCAGCAATGAAACACAAAATCAAAAACAGCTGATGCTCGGAACAATGAACGCCCGGGCGCGGTGCTTCTTTTATACGCACACCGGCGCGGCGCTGATACCGCGCTCCCCAAAAATTACAACTTCGTAGGTACAAAATTATCGTTTTCGGAAGCGGTCTCCTAACACCCAGTATAGATAAATGCTCACGCCACGAACCAGCAATGAAGGCGTCCTCCGATTTATTTTTATTACATTGCGTGCAGTTCAGTCGTCACAATACAAAAGAAATCAAACATAATTTCTAGTATTATCTTATTTAGGTTCATCCATTATCATTTTCACTTTAGATCACAACTATAATCATTACAACTTGTATCAATCCTAAACTTGTACTGTGGAGGACAAAACTATTAAAAGACAATTTTCATAGTCATTCTAAATCCCGGATTCGTATCCGAATATTATTGAGTAGATGTCCCCGCAAGAGACAGAAAGGATTCAACTTTCTTCAAATTATTTCCGGACTTCGTTTTCCATTGTAATTTAAAAAAACCCTGATATTTGGGGGACATTATTATACGTCTATAATATCATATCTTGGCAGTTTCTCACGATTTTACCTTTAGGTAAATCTTACGTGAAAACGTTGTCGCATCTGCTCTGAGTCTGAATCCCTTCACAACTTTCACCCGTTTAGGTAAAATATCTGATTCTAAATCACACTATGTTCAAAATAAGGTCGTACCTACGTCATCAATCCAAAAACGAACATCATAAAATTACTTTCACTAAAATTGTCTAATCTCTAACAATAAAAACAAAGACCTAATTATCTTTAACCGATAGACAGAACTATATTAGACTTACTGCTCGGCACGACACTCCTGGGTACAGAAACACTGAACGGCCCCCAACCCTTGATGTTCCCGGCGGCAGCCCTCAAGAAGTATCGCCTGCCCCGCGTGAGGCCCGTGATCAAGGCTTTGGTGCCGACGTTAGCGCCCGATGAGGTCAGCTCACGGACCCCGCACACGTTAGAGAAATCTGCTCGCGATGACCACTCCACTGTAATTAATAGAGAATGGTGATATATACGTCCTTTGTGCACGATATTAAGACGCATCCGCTTTTTCAAGCCCGCACAGGTAGGTGACCAACGTTCTGACTATATCTGCCGTGGAGCACTAATGCCTTTTGATCTGAAGAGGAAAAAGCCATTGTAGTGTAAAGACTGAGACTTAGAGCTCATGTATGAAGATGGGCGAAAGCAATTACGTTACTGAAGTCTATGTGCGCCGTTGACCACTTAACTAGTTGAGCCATGAGCTCATCCATCTATCTAAGCAATAAAAAAGCGGGTAGTTTAATATATTACCTTTAAACTTAGTAACGGCCGGTAAGTCTTCAAGGGATGCTGGTTTGGCGTCTCTTAACCGGACCGTGACCGCGTGAGATCCACAGACCTCCAGATCTGGTGCGTTTGGCGCAAGAGGCACACGAAGCTGTTGCCAGCCTTGGACAAGACGTCTAAAATGCAAATCGTTGAGCCATTAATTAGATAAACTTGTGGATTGGGCGTACGGTAATGGACGTACCATTTTTATATAATAAAGAATAAGTAATGGAACGGTTTTTCCTCCTACCGTTCGTAGCCTTAGAAGCTATCCTACGCTCTGCCTGTTAGCTGAGCTCACAGGGCTCAACCTGAGAGTTTGATAACACTGACCTTAACAAGAATCTTTCGCAGAATCTACCATCGGATCTGAATCGCGACCCACTGAGAAGACCCAGCGAGTAGCTCAATGGGTTAGAAAAGGGTTATGAAGATTAGGAAATATATAATCGACATTATTATTTTACACAATTTTAAAAGACCATTTCCTGTTTCTTCTCGCACTTATCTGTGGTGATGGAAAATACCAAATGTGTATTTTAAAATATTAGGTATAGTTTGAATTGGCAGTTTTATGACGTCAACTTAGCCAATATCAATTATTGAATTTGTCATTTAAAACAACAATTACAAGGAAACTTAATTTATTCAACAAATTCGATTCATTTAATTCGACTGTTGTGTCGCTTTACGTACGTGTTGAACGTCGAATAAATTTCAGGTTATCGCCGACTCTAAAAATAAAAGCAGTGAAAAAACCGTAGAGTACTAGTTTTTTTTAATTCTTTTTTATTTATTGCCTTTGTAGGCAGACGAGCATACGGCCCACCTGATGGTGAGTGGTTACCGTTGCCCATGGACTTCAGCAATGCCAGGGGCAGAGCCAAGCCGCTGCCTACCGCTTAATACTCTCCACAAGCCTCGTTTGAAGAAGGACATGTCATAGCGCTCGGGAAACACCGTGGAGGGGAGCTCATTCCATAGCCGGATGGTACGTGGCAAAAAAGACCTCTGGAAACGCACTGCGGATGACCGCAGTGGCTCCAGGTTGTATGGATGAACTCTACTCCGATGGCGGGCGGCGCGATGGTAAAAACGAGATGCCGGTATCATCTCGAACAATTCCTCAGAGCACTCCCCGTGGAACATACGGTACAAAATACAGAGGGAACCGAAGTCCCTCCGCAGACCCAGAGGTTCCAAACGATCCGTGAGAATGGGATTATCGACAATCCGAACGGCCCTCCTCTGTATGGAGTCAAATGGAAGAAGCTGGTACTTGGGAGCCCCGGCCCAGAGATGGGAGCAGTACTCCACGCGAGGCCGGACTTGTGCTTTATAAAGCAAAAGTCTTCAATTCTTAATTCCTGTAGTTAACTCAATTTTCATTTATCTGAATATGTTATACTGTATATAATATATATCTTTTGCTGCTAATCACATCACTATTAGGGAAATATATTGGAAAACAGTATTATGGAGCTAGAGGAAGATCTCTACAATAGAGAATATCTATATTTTATGATGAAGTCATTGAAATTAATGTGTGTAGTTATAAATAGTATAAGTTTAACCAATTATACCCCGCAGATAGGCCACAGGCTCCTAGACTACGTCAGAAATAGATGCCTCAGCTTCTGCATTCTAGGTCCAAGAACCCGCGGTAGACCCAAGAAACGTTGGTTGGATGTGGTAAAGGCGGATATGGAGGAGAATAGCTTCACTCAGAATGATGCCGAAGACCGGGCAATGTGGAGGGGTTTAAGTTGAAAAGCGGTCCCTGACACTAGACCGGACAAAACGCCACAAAGAAGAAGAAGAAGACTCGCATCAAGACACCTACTGTTACCGTTGGTTAACTATAAACAAAGGAATAGAAGAGTTTTCTGACGAGTTTCAAGAAGTGCTCTGAGGAACTGTTTGAGACGGTCTCATCGTCTCTTTTTATTATACCATCGCACCACCCGTCACATTACGTATCCAGAATTCTGCTACCTACCATTCGACTTTGGAATGAATTCCCCGATGACACGTTCTACTTCAAACAAGGTTTGCGGAGAGCGATGGTAACCAATAATTACCAGGCGGACCGTGTGTTCCTCTGTCAATAAAAAAAATTGAATAATCGATCTTACTTGAGGGTTCTGACTCTTCTTTCCCAATGCTGTGCCTGTTTATCCTTTTCGGAGCCAGTCCCACCGGCACACCCGGTCGTGCCAGTGCCTTGACCACTAGCTGAAGATCTGGAATCGACATTCGGAAGCTTTAATTTGAATTGATATTTTATAGTCTGTATCAAGCGTAGCATACTAGATAACACATCGGCTTTATGTACGACCTTACAGAACAGTTTGAGTGTGTAACAAGCATGTGAAGTCAGAACAGTTTATTTTGGCATATTAACCATCGAGTCCAATACCTTCCAGATGTTACATTTAAATGCTATCGTGAAATGGTGATCCTTAACTGGTGGAAGGGCGGTTTGTGAGCCCACCTTATTAGTTAGGTAGGTTGTACTGGAAAACTGAGACTTAGAACTTATGTCTCAAGCTGGGTAGTGGCGTTTATATTGATGTATATGGGTTCCAGTGACTATTTAACACCAGGTGGACCGCCTGTTTTTTCGACCCAAGTTTCTCTACAATAACCGGTCTTGCGCAACTTGAACCATGACTTTTAGTGGGTTTCATCGGTCTACCTCGTGGGTAGGCTATCTCTACAATATATTGCCAAAGTACACCCATCTTAGTAATAAAAAAAATATATATATGAAAGGACCCTACATTTCTCAGACATTTATCATTCATTAGTTTCTGCGTATGTAGATTAAAGATATTCCTTTAATTTGCAAATCTGTTTGTCTGTACTACTTTTCAAATAAATAATTACGTTCCATCGCAGTATTATTCGTTACAATATTTTACCTGGTACAAGCGTCATCGCGACATGGTCGCTCCGTTGCACATCCGATAACGTCATGTAGCTTGGACTCTGCGTCTCGGGCCAAGCGACGTAGGTGGGCACCCAATGCTTCAGAGTTCTTAACTAGAGAAACAAAAAGCCATTGAAAGAACGAGTCCCAAATTAAGGCCATAATCTTACGAATTTCTATTACACAACTTTTTGATTTCAGGGTTTTCGTGTGTACTAGATGCATGAATGCACTGAATGAAGCTATCCTCGTATGTTATTTAAAACAAGAATCTTCTAAGGTCTTGTCCTCCTCTGAACAGTTCAGTTAAACACGTTAGTTGCGTTATGCGGCTTAAAAATCCTCACACAGGTTGCTGCCCTACCCTTCAGTTTGAAGGGTGGGGCAGTCATTGTAACTATACTGAGACCTTAGAACTTATATCTCAAGGTGGGTGGCGCATTTACGTTGTAGAACTCGTCCACCCATCTAAGCAATAAAAAAAACACGACTATGTCCTGGTGCGGTAGTCAAAAACGCATTCTTTCGCGAAGGCGACTATGTCCGCATTTATATGGGCATATAGGCACTGTAAAGAAGTTGAATTTTCCCTCAAAAAGACATCACACGAACTGGCTGGAAGTCCTTTAAAGTATTCCCGCCATCAACGTGTAAACTTGCTGTAAGATTAAAAACCGTAGTACAGTAGGTAATTTCGGCAGCATCAGCGACAGATTCAATAAACGTGGGACGTCGTATAATTTGTTTTATCGTGCCGAGACCCGATTGAGTTTTGTTTCGATTCGACATCGAACGTCAGGAAATGGGGTCTGTCGGTGAATCCAGCTATTTATACGATTCTCGGTTTGGTTCGACTAGAACTATCGGATTTGGGAATTAAGAAACGGTGGTCAATGGTTCGGTTCACCGACTAGATATCTTATACCTTTAAACGAGCAATTCTTGTATATATATATATATAATCTGAATCTCGGAAACGGGACTAACGATTGTCATAAAATTTAGTATACAGGGGATTTCGGGGGCGATAAATCGATCTAGCTACGATTTATTTTCAGAATATGTTGTTTTATTCGTGTTTTCAATAATCAACTCTTCCCGACATCTACTGGCGAATAATAATACTATTTTTCTTAATTGAGGGTAACTAACCACTTTAAAAGATAAAACAAGATGGCGTTATCAAAAAAAAACCGAGCAATACTCGGTCATCATCTAGTAAAAATAGTGTAACAAATCGAAGTATGAATATTAATTTGAGTTTAGCATCAGTAAAGCGTACAAACTTGGAGAAATATGTATGTATTGCAAAACTGTCGCATCGGATTAATTTAAAAGACTTTGACTGCTTCGGTTGGAGCTGTCTTGTTTTATTGTAGTTCTTCTTCTTCCTAGCGTTTTCGCGGTCTGGTGCCATGATCCGCTTTGCTACTTAAGCTCCTCCATTTTACCCGGTCTTCGATATCCTTCTGGGTGAGGTAATTCGCCTCCATATTGGTCGTTACCACTTCCATCTCTTGGACCTACCCCGGGATCTTGGACCTGGTACTTAGAGATCGAGGAATCCCTTTCCGACGTAGTCTAGAGGCAAAGCGGTTTATGTCACGAACTCCAACGCTGCCGCGAATGTAGTTGTTACGAATGCGATCTAGTCGTGTTAGATTTATATCCCAATTATGTTCCATATTAAACTAGCTCACATCTAGATTAGCTGTAGCTTATCTGTATATAAAAAACATAACGTGCCAATGAAAACGTTGAAACATTTCTTTCTTCATACAACAATAAAGTTTTGCCGCAAAGTATTGAAAAAAATAAAATAATAAGTCACCTTTACATACGTAATTATTTTATTTTTAAAGAATACCATACTATTAATAATAATTTCAATTTCGTAGCTCAATTTGTCATTCTCTCAGTGTTCAAATATTTGGGAGCACACTTTGTTTGGTGAAAAACAATAGACTGCGTAGGTGGGAACGCCCACCACGTAACTTCTTTGATAAAAAAGTAATTTAAGTTTTCATATAAGTAAAATATTGAAATGTTGCCGAAGCTGGTGTTTTGTGGCTGGAATGTGAAAATAAGTTTTCTATGGCGTACCTGGATTCAGGGCGAGTAGTGTACCATATTAGCGAAGGGTAGGACCAGAGGGGAAACCAAAACCCAACCTATTATATGTATTAGAAATATTTAAACGCAGGATCTCTTTCTATTCTCGCTGCAATTCGTTTCAATTCCATTTACAAAGGTGGCTATGTTATTGAATGCATTAAAAAATCGATAATGACATGAATGACTACAAATTAACATATTTTAAACATTTTTACATAATATAATTTTATGTTCAGTTTCTAGTTTGTTGTGTTGTTTTATTAATTTATTCAATTTCATGCGTAAAGGTACAATGGCGGACTTAATGCCAGAGGCATTATCTACTAGTCAACCAAGGGTGGTGTGAAGTCCTGTGGTGGGTGCATTCCTTTTTGCGAAAATAAGAAAATTAATAATAACATTATTTTCTCTTATAAAAAAAAGTAGGAACATACTTTCTCCATTTCGTTTTTAATTTATAAGACTAAAGTATTAAACTAAAAAGTCTGTTGACAGAGAGAAAAAAAGATATTGAACGGTTTTTACTTTGTCTATTTACCTCTTCTTTATTGCTCGAGAAGCCCCTTGAAGTGAAGCAACCGAAATAGGTCGGGGAACTGACTAGATAATAAAACGGGAGATAAATTATTCACGGGCACGTTTCACGGGCAAGAATCCGTATGCGCTTTAACAATGATGCTCAAATCAAATTTCCGGGAGCATCGAGGACACGATGCCGTGTGGTGTAAGTTTTCGGTGCGATCCTTACAAAGGAACTGCCATTTCACACATTCGAATATCAGTAGAATACAAAGAATACAAAACTCTATCTTGCGTTCTTATAAGTGGTGTTCCGAGGTTGGTCATAAACACTGAAATACACAGAGAACTAGGGATGCCCACAATAATGCAGGAAAACGCAAATTTTAAACAAAAACACCTCGAAAGATTGGAAAAGCACCCAAACAATTTGCCTGCCGCCTTGAAAAAACGAAGTTACGGTAAACCGCCCAAGAGAAAAGACGTCATATAGTTCAATGACAAATCTTTAAATTTAGAATAGATGGCTCGCTTGAGTCACGCTCTTACTTACTACGTAACAGGATACTGACTGTAGATAATAAAGGGAAAAAAATTATCACATACTCGAAAGTGATGTGTTGAACTCAACACCTCATGCAGTCACGGTGACGCATCGCTATCACCGCCTACAGGCACAACACTAGAAGTTTCTGGCCAGATTTTCTCAGTGGATCGCGATTCCGATACGGTAGTCGATACAACGAAGCACTGCATGGTAAACAGTCGAAGCCACCCTAAACACGTCATTACGGATACTCTTGATCAATTAATGGTGCTTTTAGGTACCACAAGCACCCGTCACCGTTCTCGCCGAAACCGTCGCTTGTGACGAAGGGTTCGGCGGGTAAATTAACCCACAGGCACTGCCTACTGAGGTGGGTCACGTATCCAATCCGGTGGCAGATTTTGCGAAGCATTGCTCTTGCTAGGGCCAGTGCTAGCAACACTCCGGTTTGAGCCCCGAGAGCTCACCTACACGCTAGGGTAACGCTGATATAGCCTCTCAAGGCTATCAACATAGGTAGGAAAAAAATAAAAAATAAGCACTGCTCTTGTTAGGGCAGATGTTAGCAAAGTTTCTCTTGCGGAGCCCTGTGAGCCGTCGCCTACCAGTCCGGCAAAACCCGAGGCAATTATTAGGAAAAGTACCTAATCCTACGCGGTGCCGCCAAATAGGTATGGAGGACAAGGCCCCGTTTGGTGATGATTAATGATTTAAAACTACACGATCATTATTTCAGAATTTATTAACAATGACTTATTGGACTCGATCGATTTTCTAACTCAGTTGCTATTTAGTGAGGAAAGGACAGAAAAGACCCATAGACATCGTAACATGAATGCCTATATCCAGCTGTAGACGCGGGGTCGCTGTCTCAATTCAGTCGTAATTGTTATCCACCCTTCGAAACAAAACTCACAATGACTTCTCAGCAAAAATAGACACAACGATAATTTCGGTATTTTTCTTAAACTAAAAATGCGCAACATGTTTCGTCAAGGTCGCCCGTGTTGAACCAAACCATCAAATACAATGTACGCTAAGCCACGGGGAAAAGCATCAAATTGTATTCGTCCTTTAATGAAGCAGAAACTTCAAACAGGTTACTCTGTATTCGGATCTCGTAGTGCATGACGTCATCATTCGTGCTTCAAACATCGCGACGAGAGCTTAAGAATTCCATCGCAAAGATAAGAGTTCTCCCTCTGTGCAGATAATGAGATCTGTCTGTTTACATCGAAGAGCCGAACGCAAATGTAATTCAGATTGCTGGAAATCTGTTTTATCGGGCACACGATGATAATCAGCTGCGAGTTATTGTTATTTTATTCTGTGTGATTCTTTCTATATCCACATATTGTTCAGTATTCTATTCAATCGTCAATTATAAGCTTTGTATAACAAAATCTATACTCTATACAAATATATAAATCTACAGTGGTTTTTACGGATGTTTCGTTATAAGTACTGAACCGTGCATCCGATTGACTTGAAACTTGGTATCCATGTAGAAAATACATGTACTTAATGGATATGCTAATATTTATATGAGTGTTGGACTTCCCACACCAGTTGCGGGGGCGTTAATGATGAGAATCTTTGTGGGGTTGAGAAATAATAATGTTAATTTTAAATGCCCAGCGAAGCGGACGGGTACAGCAAGTCACTTATATTTCTCACTGTTATTAGTTTTGTCATGCGATGACATGTTCTATTCTATTTTCAGTCATTTTCTAATTACCTGTATGTAACTATACTGAGACCTTAGAACTTATATCTCAAGGTGGGTGGCGCATTTGCGTTGTAGATGTCTATGAGCTTCAGTAACCACTTAACACCAGGTGGGCTGTGAGCTAGTCAAAAAAAAAAAAACTGACACAGAGTTGCGCTTCGATGAAGACACTAAAGTCAAAAACGATAAAACATCACAGCGTG